TCTCCGACTCAGAATGGTACTGTTCTATTGTTCTATCTGAGATTAGCTCTTAGGGGATTTCTTCACCTCTCTTGCTCAGTTCTGTTCCACTTCTGATGAGTTTTGGCTTTTATGCCAATACCGACAGACCCAAAAGTTTTTCTCTCAGGATTACTGTCTTCTCCCCTTTCCTCCCCCATGCTTTCAGATTAAGACCATCACCCCTGGAGAGACTCCTTCCAGTGACAATGGTGAGTGGTTAAAGGTTAACACACACGTGTTGTTGAGTGCTTGCGCACCTGTCTGCATCGCGACAGTATGCCAGCATAGCGTTGCGTCTAACGTACTTATGTGTACCTACGCATTGTCTAACGTACAAATCCACCGACAAACAAACACCCACACTCTATTATGCCTTGGTGGCGTTGTGTGGTGGGAGCGTGTACTGCTACGCTGTGGTTGCCATGGTTACGTGCAGTACTTCTATAAGTGCGCAGTTCAGTCTATGTGTGTGTGTCTCACCATCACCCTGACATTTACACAGCTCTGCCGTTCTCGCACTTGCACACCGCAGTATAAGTACATGTGTGTGTAAACGTTTCTATATCCGAAGCTCCTTCTGTGCGTATGATAGTATGGGTATTTGTGTGTGTGTGTAAACGTTTATATATCCGAAGCTCCTTCTGTGCATATGATAGTATGGGTATTTGTGTTTGTGTGTAAACGTTTATATATCCGAAGCTCCTTCTGTGCGTATGATAGTATGGGTATTTGTGTTTGTGTGGGTAAACGTTTATATATCCGAAGCTCCTTCTGTGCGTATGATAGTATGGGTATTTGTGTTTTTGTGTGGATAAACGTTTATATATCCGAAACTCCATCTGTGCATATGATAGTGGGTGAGCGTATTCTGACCTATCATGTCCTGCCCACAAATATACCTACCACACACCTCTATAGTACTTAGCTCACTCGGCTATACACGTACTTAACATACCCACCCAAATATGGTTATGCACATAGCACTCTCATCTCTACATGCACGTAGCACACCATATTCTCTATTCACGTGTCCATTTGCTTACCTACACACACATACACCCACACTTTGTCTGATCAGGTGGAGCGGGCGCGGCCACACAGCAAATCCTTAGCAACTTTATGCAGATGTTCGGTGCTGAAGGGGGGTGAGTGAGTCATGCTGTTCTATAAATAAACAAGCGTTCTATAAATAGATAGAAGGTGCGCTATAGTCAGATGCACTGTGTTGTGTCAGAAATCGCACGGTGCTGCGATCTGCTGTGTGGTGTAACTCCGTTGATATGGCCTGTTTTGGCTCTTTGCGTATTTGATTGACCCAAATGTTTCTGTTTTAGGGTTTTACTTTGGAGAGAAAATCGGGTTTTTTGGAGTGCAGAACGGATGATTCCTTGTCCCTTCACAAGTTGTCCTCGCGTCTTTGTACGCGCACCACAAGGTGTAATTCCGTGGGAGGCGTTTCCATGGTAACCCCCGTCATCCAATTGTGTCATTGGGGGTGTTGTGTATCTCACAACTGATTGTACCATATCATGGTTTTGTTAACTTAAGGGTTTTAGGATTTTATCATGGTTACGTTAACTTCCTTTCATACTTTCTTTCGTGTGCTGATGAGATGTATTTTTCTGGTTGCCATAGCGACGCCCATCTCTCACTAAACGAAGACGTGACCAACACCAATGTCATGAAAGCCTTCGACGGAGTTTTGGATCCATTGGCCGCCGTTTGGACTGCGCTCAATCTTAATATGGTAATTCCATATTTAGCATTCGTCTAGAAATAGTTATTGTATGTTGTATGTGCCTTTCCGTCTCTCGATCTAAATATGGCAATTCTATATTTAGCATTCGTCTATGAACAGCAGTTCTTAGGTGAAGGGTTTGCTGTTGTTGAGTCATCTCGTCTGACTCCGCCCACACATCACCGGTTAGTCAATGCCACGACAGTTTGTGTAGCTTTGCGCATCTCTGAAACACTCTGCGCCAACTCACACGCGCGTAGCTACATACGTTATGCATCCCTGTCCTTAAGCTAGTACCGAACATTATCTCAGAAGCAATGGTGTACTCACACTATAGACACGTCTCTCTCGTCGTATAGCGTCACAGCCATGAAGTAGATGTGGTTTAGGTTTTTAGGCTAGCCATTTCGTGCTGTTGTGTTACACACCCCATGGCTGGCCTGGGTTGGTTGTCCTGCACCTGTTCACTGGCTGTCTCATTTGTCCCATTTGCAGGACACTCTCAGCGACAGTCGCCATAGCGGCGGAGTGGGCGCAGATATGCACGGAGTGTTTGTGGACTCACTGCGCAAAGTGCCGAAAGTGCCCAATATCAGAGGGTATGAAGAGTGTGTATATGATTAACCATATCAGAGGGTATGAAGAGTGTGTGTATATGATAAACCATATCAGAGGGTATGAAGAGTGTGTATATGATTAACCATATCAGAGGGTATGAAGGGTGTGTGTATATGATTAACCATATCAGAGGGTATGAACAGACCTCAGTGTGCATGAGGTAGATATGTATGTATGAGTTACGCTGACAAATAGCGTGCACTGGTGCAAAGACAGGCACATGTGCGTTGACAATTTAGTACCTGCATGCACATATGTACTATATAACCCCGAAAACCCAGGTGCTAAGATAGATGTACGTCCATATATTTATATATATATATATATTTATATATGTGTGTGTGTGTGTATGTAGGTATGTATGTATATATATATATATAATATATATATATATATATATATATATATATATATATATATATATATATATATGCATATCTACATACATACATACATACATACATATACTATGTTGATGCTCGCGACGGTGCCTACACAATACTGTCAAGCTCTAATGTGGCATCACCGGATATATCCCCATACACACACTCGCACATGTACCTACACACACACGCACACATATACTTACATACACACATATATATATATATATATATATATATATATATACTACCTACACACTCACTCACACTTACACCTACACACACACTCACACATACACCTACATACATACTCACACATACACCTACACACATACACGGCCAGCTCTAATCTGGGTCTCACCCGGCGCAGAAGCATGGCGTTACTGCTAGCGTCGGGAGGTGCAGCGAAGAAGCAACGGCAACGCGATATCACACGAGAGAGGATTCTGGAGATCCTGGAGATGGTCTTTGTAAGGCATCCGTATCGGCTCGTTGAGTCGTTTATGTTGACGTGGAAGGTGAAGAGTGACTCAGGACATCTGTTTGTTCCTCCGGATAGTGACCGAGGTGTGTGCTGTTGTTGGGTGGTGTGTGTATGTGTGTATGTGCATGCATAGCTATAGTTGTGTATGTGTGTATGTACATGCATAGTT